GGAGATTCCTCAGAAAACTTGGAATGGAATCATCATTTGACCCAGCTATTCCACTCCTTGGTTTGTACCCAAAGAACTTAAAATCGGCATACTACAGTGATGCAGCCACATCAACTCAATTCACAATAGCCAAACTATGGAACAAACCTAGGTGCCCTTCAACAGATGACTAGATAAAGAAAATGTGGTATATATACACAATGGAATTACTCAGCCTTAAAGAAGAATGAAATTATGGCATTTGTCCGTAAATGGAAGGAGTTGGAGAATATCATGCTAAGCAAAATGAGCCAATCCCCCCAAACCAAGGGCTGTTGTTTTCTCTGATATGTAGATGCTAATTCACAATAAGGGGTGGGGGCTACTAGGGAAAAATAGAGGTACTTTGATTGGACAGAGGGGAGTAAAAGGAAAGTAGGGGGTATGGAGGTAGGAAGGATAGTAGACTGAATCAGATATGTTTACCCTGTGTGCATATATGATTACATGATGTGATTCTACATCATGTACAACCAGAAGAATGAGAAGTTATACTCCATTTATGTATGATGTGTCAAAATGCATACTCCTGTCATGTATAACTAATTAGAACAAAATTTTAAAAATCAGCATACTACAATGACACAGCCACATCAATGTTCATAGCAGCTCAAGTCACAATAGATAAGCTATAGAACCAACTTAGGTGCCCTTCATCAATGAATGGATAAAGAAAATCCAGAACTATACCCAATGGGATATTACTCAGCCTTAAAGAAGAATGAAATTATGCCATTTGTCAGTAAATGGATGGAACTAGAGACTCTTATAATAAGCAAGCCAGTCCCAAAAAACAAAAGGCCAGATGTTCTCTCTAATATGCCATTGCTGACTCACAACAGGTGGGGGGGGTGGTGAGGAAAGAAGTGGAGGTTCACTTATTTGGACTGGAGAACAGAGGGAAGGGAGCAGGGATGGGAATGGGAAAGACTATAGAATGAATCAGACATAAATTTCCTATGTTCATGTATGAATATATGACCATTGTAACTCCACATCATGTACAACCACAAGAATGGGAAGTTACTCCACATATGTATATGTCAAAATACACTCCACTGTCATGTATAACTAAAAAAGAACAAATAAAATTTACCAAAATATCATGCTCTATGCTTATACAAATATATGACAGGAAACTTCACCTTTATGCATAAATAGAAAGACCCAATCAAATATAAATGAATAGACAAGCCAAAGGAAACCTAGTAGAGGAAAGAATGGAGAAGATGGAGGACAGGAGGGAAAAGGGTGGGTATCATGAACAGAAATTAAGTATATACACCCATGAGTTTGTTAGGATGAACCCAACTACTATAAATAACTATAAATCTCTAATTTTAAAAAGTAATGTACACTTAAAATTTTGTTAAGAGGGTAGATTTCATGTTAAAAGTTCTTATCATATAAATAAAATCAAACACGTTAAAAGGAGTGGTAAGAGCAAAGTGGGAGAGAGAGAAGACCCTAGGAGGAACCTGGGTCTCTGGTGTAAGCTGCTGGAAGCATGTGGATGTTATTAACTGAACGAGGGAGTACATTTTGGAGGTAAGAAAGTAAATTTAATTTCAGATATGTGTGGGAGGAAGCTGCACTGGCACCGGTTTGCAAAAGCATCTTCCCAAATCTCTAACTATAGTGCTTGGATCTCTATATTACTTATTCATTTGACTTTGTTTTTCCAGAATTCTACTTTTAAAATGCTCCTGAGATTATTGATGCTTTCTTTATGTATGATAATAGCACTGTGATTTTGTAGAAAAAAAAATCCTTTAAATGTTAAAAATACATGCCAAGGTATTTAATGCATAAATGAAACATTGTCAGGTTAGCTTTCAACTAACCCAGAAAAGAAAAACCTGAAGTGTACATGTGTAGATATAGATAAAAATAATATTGACAAAATATTTAAAATCATGAAAACTGAGAACTAAAAGTACATGTTCATTACCATTCCCTGTACTTTCGAGGATTTGAAGATTCCTACAATAAAAAAAAAGTGCTCCTTATTTTGGAATTTTATTATTAACTCAATGGAAACTACAAGAAAAAGAGCTAGATATGTGTTGCTTGTATAGATGCTTTCCCTCTACAGACTTCACAAAGGTTTATTTAAAAATTAAAAACAGAAAAAAATGTAGGTTAAAGAATTATTTTGAAAATACTCTTAAAAGTAGACACTGTAGATATCAGGGCAATATAAAGAACTTCCAATATAATGTAGAAGTTGAAATCAATTAAATAATAATTCAAAAAATTAAGGAGTGAAAAGGTACTATAATGAAGCATAAAGTTTATAAAAGAAGTTAAAAATGGAAATTTAACATGCAACTTACATCAATAAATAGAAACCAGTTAAACAACTCAGTTTGATTTAACAAATATTTATTAAGTACATAAGTGTTTCAGGTTCTACTAGGTTTTGAGAAATTAATAAAAATACATAAACAAAGAACCTCAGCTCATGAAATTTAGTCTAGTATAGAAGACCGTAATGAGTAAATGCAAAAAAATAGTGATGCATTATTACTAGAAAAAAAAGTTTAAGATGAATACAATACATGTTTTCTAAACAGTTTGCAGAAGGCCTTGAACACATTATCTAATGTTTCATTTTTTTCTTTATTATCACAAATCAACTATATATCAGTACACATATTTAATACTAAAATATTATAAACTATTTTAACATACTCAATAAGAAAAAAGATAATCACTGTCAAAGCACCATGTTTATATAAGTCCTTACTAAGATAAAATATACAAATAGCAACTCAGTATTAATCTTATGGGGAAATGCAGACCAATGAAACTGTTATTTCAGAACATTTTTTTTTAAATGAAGAGTTTCAATAGCATTAACTCAACATCAGTATTTTAAGGTACTCAGTCAATTCCAAAGACAAGGTCAAATAATAAGGATAAAGCACTGAACCAAAGTTTTCAGTCTAGTAAGTGAAAACAGATAATGGTTGTAATATAATATGATTAAGAACTGTACAATAAGAGAACACAGTTTTATGACAATAGGAAGGTCAAGTAATACCTTTGTAAGCAAACTAGAAAAGCAGCTTCCCAGAAGATGACAAGATAAGCCAGGGTAAATATGCAAAAATAGGAAGATCTTCCTGTATGGCAGAATTGTTGGTTTAAAATGTAGGAGAGACATTGTAAAATCTGTGTGTTATAAAAAAAAAAAAATTAGTCTGGCTGAAGCACCAGGAGATTGGAGAAGGGTAAGAAATCAGTGTTGACAGGCAATCATACTTCAGTCTTAAAGAGAATCTTGGAATTTATCCAGAAAACCAGGATTATAAGCAGTGGATTAACATCAAATTTATGTCTCAGAAATATATTCAAAAGGAAAAAATGCTTAACTGCTTGCTTACAAGGTATTTCCATAATCCAGATGACAAATGCCTGTGATCACAACTAGGAGAGTAACAATGGGGATGAAGAGGAAGGTTGGATTACAATAATAATAAAGCTATGGAATTCATGGACTTGGAGAGTGGCAGGCAATGAAACAAAGAGTCACCCTGACACCACAGTGTATAGAGGGACATCCACTATAATAAGAAATGAATAAGGCAAATGACTGCAGAGGTAAAGACATAAATGGTAAAAAGTAAAACTTATGAATTCTGCCTTGACCATGTTGAGTTTGAGATCCTACAGTGTGTTCCAATTGGAAATGTTGAGTATGTGTTCTAATGATCAGAAAAGATATGGGGTGGAGAAGGAGGATGGAGTCATTGGTATAGATAAGAACACTCTAATTCTATATCCTAGGGACAGAGATGATCACTTAAGATGAGTGTAACGATAACTTCCTTCTCTTCCCACTATCCAGAGGAACAAAAGTATTTTTAGACAAATTTTTATTAACCCATTTGGCTGTATAAATAGAGGTGATCATAAGGTGACTTAAGGCTCCATAATTGAAATATTGTCATAAACATCATGAAGTAGGCTTATTTGTACTTGCTATTTTTTCTTCTGGTTTGCTAAATTTGCATAACTTATTAGATCTCAGTGTGTTTGATATTGAGATAGAATAATATTTCTCTAGGAATACAAAACAGAAAGGGTTCCTCTCTATATTTTTTTCACCCATTGAACATGATCAGAATTTTCTTTAGAGATAGGGAAACAATGAGCATGAATTGTCTTGAGAATACCGTCATTATTATATCTTGTAAGGAAGGAGGATAACAATGAATTAGACACTATCAAAGGCCAGATGGATGATGTATTTTTGTTATTTGGTAAACTATGGTAAATTTTTTTAATAAAAATTATATAGTAGCCACTATGAGGCAGACAGTTAAAAATACAGGATTTTGTTTTTAACTTCCAAGGGATCGTAGTCTATTATTTAGCTAGCAAGTACACTTGAAATAGTTCTCCTTAAATAGGTACTTCATCAGCTAAAATATACAGTCATAGTTACTTTTTACTAAGAAAATTAATAAGCAAGATAAGAAATCAGACATTAATCTCAAAGAACTAAGAGGTCATTGCTTTCAAAGAGACAGAAAGTTAAATTTAATCAGAATTTTTTGTTTGGACGCTTTGGAAAAATTTGAGCAGTGCATTTGATCCCTTTGTTGCTTTCCTGATGGTTGGATTCCTCACAGACTTTGTTTTGGGAGGTGGTGACTGACTTTTATTTGATCTTTCAGGAAGTGGTTGGTGATCTTTATTGCATATAAACTCAAGCCAGGAGACCCCTGGAGGCAACCGGTGGTAGCTAAGGACCTTGGTGACTACACAGCCTGAGAGGGCAGATGGAGCAGAGTCTTTTAAAGAAGGGAGTAAGGAGGGTAAGGCAAAAGAGGAAGAGGATGGAGAAGAGGAGGCAGAGGAGGAGGAGGAAGAGGAGGAGGAAGAAGTAGAAGGGTTTGGGTTCTCGGATTGTAGCAGAGTACTACTGTTTTTTTTAACATAAAGTAGCCAGTCAATAGCCTGGGGCTGCTGACTTGTGACTTTCTTCTCAGGGCATGTCAACCACGTTTTCTTCATATTGAGCCCTTGGATGATATTTGATTCAGAAGAGGGTAAAATCTGTGATATCTTCTTCATTTCTTCAATACTGTCATCAGGGACTTCATCAGGCTGATTTTCTTTCAGAGGTAATGAAACATAAGAATTCTCTGGCAGGCAGAGGATGAGAACTAATTTCACCTTTATTTTCCCCTCAAAATTGGCCTCAGGTGCTGGTATGGCAAAAAGTGTTGCAGAGCGAGGATCTCTCTTTCCTGAAATATGTCTACATTGAGACTTTATGCAGGAAGCACAAACCAAACAAACTGTATACATTGTTGAAAGGCGGGGACCAGGCCGAGGATTTGGCTTTCCCCTCATTCTTCGAAAAAGAATTTGCCTAGAGAGATCCTTCTGGATTCTGGTCTTGGAGATAGAATTGACAATTTTATTTAACACTTGCTCAGGGACTGTTCCACCTTTAACAATGCAGGGATTACTACAATCTAAAGTCCAGGGAATTTCTTTATCTGATTCTTTCTTTGTACTAAAACTGAAGCTGCTTTTACTGGATAGTCTGGAACCTACTGTAGATATGTTCCTGAGGCCGTGTTTGGTGCTTGATGGTGATATGCCTATAACATTTGGTTTCAAATGATGGGATGATGGTAGTTCTGTGGCTTTGTATTTGTCACTTTGTGAAGTGCCATTCTGAGACTTGGAGTGACAAACTGGTGTGCTGAAGGTCTGAAAGTTGCGGTCAAAGGTAAATATCGTCTGAGACTTGGACTGGAACAATGGAAAACTCTGAGGCTGGTGGAAAGAATGTGGATGCCTTAATTTTAAATGGGACAAAGGTAAACTCAGAGGATTGGAACTGAAGTTCAACACAGATGTTTTCTGAGATCTGGAAGTAGGTAATGGGGAACTTAGAGTCATTTGCTTTGACTGCAAAAAAGGTGATGTGGGAAGGTAGTTAAGTGTTTCAGATTTGGTTTTGAGTGATGGTGAGCTCAGTGATCTCTGATTACGTTCCATTAAAGATGTCCAAAGGCAGTCCAATGAAGTTGTTTTCTGAGATTTTGATTGAAGTGATGTTGAGCCAAAGCATCTTTGGTTTAGTCCTAAAGAAGGTGATGTATAGATGATTTTTAGGGAAGGTGCTTCTTGGTGTTGGAGAGCAGAAAATGATGAACTTGGGACTCTTTGATTAGACTTCAGTGAAGGTGATGTACAGCAAATGTTTAGGCTTGAAGATGAAGGTTTGGAGAGGGGTAGTTTTGAGCTTAAGGCTGTTTGATTGGCCTCCAGTGTTGATGCTGTCTTGTTGAAGTCAGATGAAGATATAGTCGGAGGTTTGGGATGCAACAAAGGTAAATTTAGGTCTGTTGAAATGGGATGGGATGATCTGTGATAGAGGTCTGGTGAAGGTGTGCCTGGATATTTAGTGTCAGATAATGATGACTTCATAGTCCTGATAGGGAAGCTCTGTGAAAGTGTCACTTGAGATTTGGGCACTTGAGAAGGCAATATTGAGCAGCTTTGGACCATCTTGTTAGAGCTTAAGGAAGGTGCTACAATGTTTTTGCTATGGGATTGTACTTTGACCACAGGTTGGTTTTTATGTTGATTTAGTTTTTCAGCAATGAACTTTTGTCTAAATGAATGGGCTTTGGTCTGTTGGTAAGACTGGCCTAATGGCAAAAACTTTTGATCATAACATGCTAATGGCAACATCTTGTACGGTGGTGGTGTTCTTTTTAAAACCAGTTCCTATGTATGGGGATGTTTTAGTAGCTGTTAGAGTCTTTTAAGCCAGATCCCATTGGCAATGGACATTTTTAAATAAATACTATTTAGTAGTTTCTAACTTCTATCTTGCCACCTCTCTGTTAATTGCCAAAATTCATAGGATGATTCAAGATTAAGGTATAGATGAGATCGGGTGGGGGGAGTCAACATTGGAAATGATCCTTGGTCTTCTCTTCAATTTCCAAGAGTGTTTTTTCTCTTGAAGAAATAATCCCTGTTAACAAAATAGTGAAGAGAGTTCAGAAGAAATCCTGATAGGTAATTAATTTTCTTTAAAAACTGTGTTGTGACTAGAGCACATGCTTTAGAGCAAATCCCTGTCACTAACTGTGTCTGTGTTTAATATCACAGTGTATCTTAGTGTATCTTTTTAATTAAACCATCTAAATCCCAACTGACCATTTGTAAATAGGTAAATATAACATTTAATTTATTAATCTAAAAACTAAATAAGATAATGCATATAAGATATCCAACTGTGCCCTGGATATAATAATCATTCAATAAAATGTAGCAGCTATTACAGGATGCTCTTTTAATTATTGCATTCATTCAAAATATCTTGATAATTTTATTGGGTAAAACAAGAGAATCTTAGAGAAAGGTGAACTAGAAGTTCAGAATGTTGTTTTTCAATTTAGATTTATTTGCCTACCGTACTCCCCTTTTAGCCTACTTCCCAGAGTCTGCACATCTGGTTGAAAGTTCATTGCATGTTCTCAAACTTGTTTCATTTGTCACAGTTGCACTTAAAACCCTTGGCTATACCCTTTTAAATCTATGGATGTCCATTATTTCCCTCAACTCTGAACCTCTACTTTTTCTCCAGGCCTTTGCAGCATTCTTTTCTTTTGCTCTTATATTAATATAGCTTTCAGAGTTAATATCACCAATTTTCTTGTTATTACATTCTAACATAATTATCCCAGTTATGTTTTGGATTTTAAAATTAACTATTGAAGCTTCATAAAAAGAATTTTGAAGCTGACCAAAAGTGATGGGAGCATCTACCACTCAAGGAAAGTTGACATGCTGCTTCCTTCATAAAGGTAAGACCCTGGTGTGACATGATACACTGCTTTATTTTTCCTGATCAAAAGTTTCTTCTTCAGGTTTAAAACTAAGATATATGATATGATAAAGAAAAGAAATTATTGAGGACTGGGGTTGTAGCTCATGGGTGGAACACCTGCCTGGCATGTGAGAGGCACTGGGCTGGATCCTCAGCACCACATTAAAAGTAAATCAATAAAATAAAAGTATTGTGTCCACCTACTACTAAAACAAAAAAAAATATTTTAAAAACTGGGAGTAATTCCAATAATTCCTGGAATCAGTCAATTGAGTGCTTGGTCTGAAGGCATCTAACAATGAGAGCTGACAGAACATGATTGCATGATTCTCTCTAGGCTTCTATGGCTTACCAACCCTATTTCTTTTTTCTTTCATTCTTCTATCTGAAATTCAATTTCCTGTTTTTCACTCTACTTTTTTATGTTATTTGAATTTTATTTTATTTTTAATTGGCATATAAAATCTTACTTATGGAATACAGTGCAATCATACTATACAAGTATATACAATGTATAATGATCAAATCAGGGTAATTATCATTTCCATTACCCCACATGTTGTCTATGTGCTGACAGATGTAAAACTCTTCTTCTATCACTATTATGAAATACATAAGTTGATATAAAGTATACCCCCAACCTTCTGTGATATTAAACATGAGATATAATTCCTCCTAACTAACTGTAATTGGTAATCTTTATCTAACCTCTATCTTTTTCCTTGGCCTTAGTGAGTTTCTTATATATATCAACTTATTTCTTATATATGTCGACTTATTGTAAAAATTTAGAATCAATTCTATTATTGCTAGAAGTTTTCCCTTTGTCCAGGTGATTTCAAATATTTACTCTCACTCTGTTGCATTCATTTAAAAACATACTTTATTAGTATTTTAGCTCACTTGTTTTTAAACCTTGAGTCATTTTTTGAAGAATTCTTCAAGTACCAAAAATATTAGTTATGTATCAATAACTTTCTAATCTTTTATCCATAGTCCTATTTTCTCCTGAACTTCAAAATTGTATTTCCAACTAATCATCAGACTTCTCCATCAAAAGTTTCAAAGATAATTCAAACACAAAACAACAAAAGCTCAATGAAGTTAATTATCTTTTCAGAAAATCTTTCTACATCTTATCTCTTGGTTCTTAATCCTTATTGACATAATTCGTAATCTTTGAAATAATTCAGACAGTTTCACTTTTCAAAGCCATTTAAATGCCAAGGGTGAATTTTTACCTCTTTCATAGTTTAATTTATTATTTTTTTCCAATATCACTATTTCAGTTTGTACTATAGGTATATCACATCTAGACTAACATATTATTACAGAAACCACTATAATCTTTCCCCCATGAACTCACTATCTCTTTCCCCATTGTCCTTTCAAGATATCCAGGAACAAACTTGCTGATGAGACACCACTATAACTTGATTAGGGATGCCCCTTGCTTTGCATATGCCTGCAGGAGTAATAAACACAGAGTTCTCTCATGATCGCTGAATTTGTAGTGGTGTGATTTGATACATGATATATTAAAGAGGAGAATTCACACATCACAAGATGTTGCATAACACCAAGATTCCAGATAATATAGAACAACTTCATGACTTTGGGGCATGAAAGATTTCTTAAAGGAAATATAAAAAAAAAAGTACCCATTCAAAAATGATCAATTAAACTAAGAACTCCTAACCATCAAAAACATAATATTTAGAAAGAATAAATGCAGGGACTCGAGTTGTGGCTCAGTGGCAGAGCGTTTTCTTCCCATGTGTCGGGCCCTAGGTTCGATCCTCAGTACCACATATACAGACGAGATCGGGCACCTTCAGGGTAGTATGGCCGTAGACAGTAACACATATACAAATAAACAAATAAAGTATTGTGCCCATCTATGACTAAAAAATATATTTAAAAAAATAAATTCAAATCACAGAATGTATAAAAATATCCATGATACATGTTAGGGATTAGATATAAGGTGTCACTCAAAAGCTCATGTGTAAGCTAATGCAAGAAAGCTTTAATGTGAAATGATAAGGTGGTGAAAGCCTTAACTTAATCAGTGCATTAATCCCCTGATAGGGATTAACTGAATGATGACTATGGGCTGGAAGGGTGTGGCTGGAGGAGGTATGTCATTGGGGCCTGCCTTTGGGGTGTATATTTGGTGAGTTGAGCATAGTATTTCAATCTGCTTTTTGGTGGCCATGTTCTGACCTGCTTTTCCCCACCACACACTTGTGCTATAATGTTCTGCTTCACCTCAAGCCTCAAGGAATGGTGCTGGATAGGTAAGGCCCGAGAACTCTGAAACTGTGAGCCCCCAAGTAAACTTTTCTCCTATAATAGTTCTTGTCAAGTCTTTTGGTCACAACAGTTAAAAAGTTGATTAATAACATATATCTAACAAAAGACTCATTCATAGCCATGAAAATCTCTGCATGTTACTAAGAAAATAAGACAAAGAGTACAAATAGAAAGATGAGCAAAGCACATGAACAACCACTTCACAAAGGAAGCCCAAATGGCTAACACATATATGAGGAAAAAAAAAGTTCCGACTCATTAGAAATCATGTTTAAACACATTACCAGAATGTGTCTAACATAAGGTGAAAATTGAAAAGAACCAATACTCAGTGAGAATATATATTAAATAGAATTCTCATATACTGTTGGTAAAATGGTTAATTGATACACCATTTAAAAAAATTTCTTAGCTTTATCCATTAACTTTATTGATATTATTACTAATGCTAATAAGAGATAGAGACAGAGAATAAGTCCACTCCTGAATATAACAGACACATAATGCATAAATATTTGCACCAAAATACATGTACTGGCATGTTCTTCGGAGCATTATGCATAATAGCTCCAAACTAGAATCAACTGTTTGATTCCAAACAATACTGAAAAATAACAGAAAATTCAGCACCATGAAAATACATGGATGAACCTCACATAGAAAATGTTGTGTGAAAAGAACAATATTAAAAGAACACTTCAAGATTTTGTGCATGAAAGTACACAGTTGGGTCATACTGACTATGATACAAATGATCAGGATAATAACACATTTGGCAGGATAGAGGTTGAGGGAACAAAAGGGTTTCCAGAATGGTGTAATGTTCTGTGTCTGGCCCTGGTTGATGACTGGATGGATGAATTCACTTTGTGATAATTGAGCTCTAACACTTAGACTATGTGTGTTTTTGTGGGTTCCCTTACTTCAATAAAAAGTCCAAAAAATGTACAACTTGATAATAATTTGAAAAGACATCTGAAACAAAATTGCACTGAAAGGTGAAACATTAAAGGATGAACCAAGATCTGGCACACAGATGCAATGAAATCTTAAAGAGAGAAAAGGAGAAGAATGTAGTCTGGAAATCCTGGTATCATATGGATGGAAATAAAGGAATTAAAAACAACTGGAACTAACAAGAGTCTATTTAAAGATAAAAATCAGAGAAACATAGCAGTTGAGTGATTCCCACTATCAGAAGTACTCAGCAAATGACACACTTTGCTAGAAGCATATAAGGATTCCAGACAACTAAAGAAAGTAGAAATTTATAGTGAGTTATAACTATAGAATCAAATGAATGTCATGAAAGAATTAACTTTAATATTTTTTATTGCCAAGATCTTTTTATAGTGGAGGTGGATAGATATTTATAATGTTTTATGAACTTCTTCAGGATAGGATAAGTGAGGAAAAATTTCTCAATTTGTTCTAGAATACATTGTATGAAAATCATATACGAACACAGGATGAATAAAATTTAAAATTAAAGGTGAAACAATACAGTAGTATTGCTTATTTAATCTTCAGAAATTTTTAACTAAAATAACATACTTAATTTCACAGCATAATAAAATAATAATTGACTATGATCAAAGTTTATCTTATTTAAATAAAGCAATGACAGTTTATTGTTAAGAACATTATAATTTTTTATTCACAATTCACAAATAAATGTTAATGAGTATTTCAAAAAGTCATTTAATAAAATTCAAACATAAAGCTCAGTAAACTTAGAAAAGAACTACGATAATAATAAATATTACTCTGAAAGCAAAAGCAAAAGTTTCAGATGGTACTGAAATGTGAATTAGTCCTATTATAGG